ATGAACTGTTAAAACCGACTGAAACAATCACAGGCGATCGGTATCGAACGCAATTGATGCGTTTGAGCCGAGCATTGAAAGACAAACGGCCGCAATACAACGAGAGACACGATAAAGTGATTTTGCAGCATGACAATGCTTGACCCCATGTTGCGAAAGTGGTCAAGACATACTTGGAAACGTTGAAATGGGAAGTCCTACCCCACCCGCCGTATTCTCCAGACGTTGCTCCCTCTGACTATCACTTGTTTCGATCAGGCACACGGCCTGGCTGACCAGTACTTCCGGTCTTATGAAGAAGTAAAAAATTGGATCGATTCGTGGATAGCCTCAAAAGATGACCAGTTTTTTCGACGCGGGATTCGTACGCTACCCGAAAGAAAGTAGTGGCCAGCGATGGACAATACTTTGAATCATAAATATATAACCAGTTTTTTACAATAAAGCCTCGAATTTCGGAAAAAAACGGCGGAAGCGAAGTTGTACCCCTAATAGTAGAGCTATTATTCCATCGGTGTAAAATTTCTATGATTTCTCGATAAAAAAAATCGAGATAAATTTTCGTAGACCTCTTTTGAAATCAAATTTACTCCAAAGAAATTCTTCAAAAACCAAAACAAATGATAATCGGCCGATGCAAGATAAAGACTATACGGATGCCAACTGTGGACATATGATGCCTATAAGGTGGATGCATCAAAACTTCCTAGCTCTTTCAATTTTTATCAGGTTGTCATCAAGACGTGTGTGGCTTAATGTTGTCATGATGGAAGAAAATGCTTTTTCTATTGATCAATTCTGATCGTTTTTTCTGAATGTATTGCTCCAATCATATTAGTTGTTGATAGTAGAGATCAGAATTAATCGTTTTACGCGACAGCAGTTCATAATAGATGACTCCTTTCTAGTCTCACCAGACACATAGCATCACTTTCTTTGGCGTCAATCTAGGCTTTGCGATTGTTTGAGATCATCTCTTTCCGATCATCATCTTTTTCGAACATTATTATCATATGTTATCCACTTTTCATTGTCTGTTATCAATATTTTCAGAAAATGCTCAATTTCGTTTTGTTTCAGCAGTAATTCGCAAATAGAAATTCGATTTATTAAATTTTTTATCATATGATAACCAGATATCGAACTTCTTTATGCGTCTAACCTTGTACGCAAATGTCCCAAAACGGTTTTATGATCAATGTTTAACTTCTTAGCTATATCATAATTGTTCACATGACGATTTTTTCCAATTTTTTAAAAGATTTCATTGACATTTTTCCATAGGCCGACCAGAACGATATTATTTAACATCGAAATGTCTATCTGGAAATTGGCGAAACTAATGCGCTACTGCTTGTCTAGTTAGAACATCAGTAAAATATATAAGGGGATTCTGGACTACTATGTGTTAGTGGATATACGTATATATGGGGTGTGTATGTGTGCCTGTGCGCGCGCGCGCGCGTGTGTATGTGTGTGTGTGTGTGTGTGTGTGTGTGTGTGTGTGTGTGTGTGTGTGTGTGTGTGTGTGTGTGTGTGTGG